TCTTCTACTTACTATTCAGGATATCATATTCTAGCACAGTGTGTTTGAAAATTCGTTCTTTGTAGCCCACAGGAAAGACTTTCCATTTATGGAAATTTTGGCGTGCCAGAAGATAGGTGCCAGTGAGTCTGGCTGGAGTTTCCATATTGTATTAGTAATAACTTAGTGTCTAGGCTTTCAAGGAGGGCTCAGATCAGATTATCTAAATGAAAATGGGAATACAAAATCAGCTAAGGGAATAGAATTCTGCTAAATTAGTTTAGAGATTCTCTGAGATTATTTTCCATTATCTCTTAAGAGGAGAATTTCTGTATACGTTGAGGCCAGAATTTATTTATTTATTTATTTTTGACAATTCTGGACAAATGGGAAAAGTTATATTTCACTTCAACAAACTTTTTTTTTCTTTTTCTTTCTTTTTTTTTGTTTATTTTGTTTTGTTTTAGGCCATTGAGAGTAACTTTTTGGATTGATAGCCTGTCACTTCTGAAAATATTCTCTATACAACAGGAAGTTTAATGTACATAAAATAGCAATACACACAGTTGTGTGATGCAATTAACCAAGAGGAGTCTACTGCCATCTCCACCTCAGGCCAAAACAACTTCTACCACCTGCGTCCTTATTTACTTTCATAGTAACAGTCCTGCATTGTTGAAGTGTTTCCTGTTAACAGTCTGGAAACATCCCTTAGATTGTCCTTAAATTTCATAATCTGATGCTTTTCAATGTTCTAGTAAGATTATACATTTACTTTAATTTCTCTTTTTCCAAATGACACCTCATGATTTAGTTTAGCTGATGCACTATTGGTGCCTATACTTGACACCATGACAAGTTGCTATTTGTCTATTATAGAATGCATGGTTTTGATTTACTTCTGGTGGTAGGTACTTTTGGTTGATCACTGTACTCTGTAAAAGAACAAATGTTTTTAAAGAAATGATTTTAAATTGTAGTTATTCTGTTTCTTATAATTTCATTTCAATTTATATATCAGTATTTATTTTATTTTAGCCAATATTCGCCAATTTTAGCTATCTCTGGTAGCCATTCTATATTAGCCATTCTAGTATTTTTTACTTAAACTCATCATGTTCATGTTGATAGCGTCTTCAAACTTCCTGTTGCATCTTTTGAGCTATCTTTTTCTTTCTCTGATCACCCTCTTTCTTGCTAGCACAGCCTGAAGGAAAACACTCATTGTAAGCTTAGCTTTCACAGTACCAGGGATTTGTTGCTTCTCCTGAGAGATTTTCCAACATCTTATGGAATGTGGCAGAATGATGTTCAGAAACCAATATTAGATACCAGAGATACTCGGGTCTTTTTCAAAGGCCTTGTTCTCAGACGTTGTTGAAGAGAACAAAGCTGAGAAATGTAAGTATAGTGAGTATATATATTTGTAAATATGCCTTAATATCTATATTCATAAACACATGTGAATTTTCTATATATGTATATATATGCAAACATATGAATCAAGTCATTGTTTTTAATTTCATCTTAACACTATAGTGTTGTGGATAGCCCCGGTCTTGTGTTTTGATACTAATTCCCCTTTCCTGTAAAAGGCTGCAGAGGAGATGTGAGTCATTACATAGGTGAATTCTGGTTAACCTTTTGCCCATCTTAATTTGTAAAATAAAGGCTAGAGCTAGTGATTGGGGAGAAGAAGGGGAGGTAGAAAAATAAAGGCTGAGGGGAACAGAGCAGAGGGAGAGATGGCTGGAGGAAGGCAATGGAGGGCGAAGATGATGAAGGAGAGGTCGACTGGGAAGCAGGAGGTAGAAGGACAGACACAGGGTCTGGAAAATCCTCAAGTTATAAGGATCTCATAGCTGGGGAACAAAGTAGTGTAGTGGTATCTACCCAATCTAGGCTTAGCGAATATATTCATAATTACTGAGTTGTGTTTTCATTGACCGGTCATATTTGGGCTTAATATTTACTGCAACACTATAGAATTTATTTGAGTTCTATTTCCCTTCTTTTATATGCACTCTTTGATTAAAAAATATGAAAACTTCGTTTTTCTATACTTAATAGATCAATCTCTGTCCCTTGACATCATATTTAACCTTTTCTCAGTGCTCCTGCTTCTTGTACTGTTAATGTGCACACTACTCTACTTGGCTCTGCTATCCTGTGCTGAGACCTACCCTATCCTGTGCCAATGTACTTGCCCTCATTTTCCTCATACCATCCCATCTTTGTATGTAATCTACTAATCAGACTTGAGTTCTTTTGTTAGGACTTGATCTCTTTGTAGTAGACACTCCTTCCTTCCTTCCTTCCTTCCTTCCTTCCTTCCTTCCTCCCTCCCTCCCTCCCTCCCTCCCTCCCTTCCTTTCTTCCTTCCTTTCTTTCTTCCTGTCTTTCTTCCTTCCTCTCTCTCTCTCCTTTCTTCCTTCATTTCTTTCTTTCTTTCTTCCTTCCTTCCTTCCTTCCTTCCTTTCTTTCTTTCTTTCTTTCTTTCTTTCTTTCTTTCTTTCTTTGCCTTGACTTGCCTCAATTATATGATAGTAGGATGGTCTTCTTATGGACATCTTCCACACTTGTATCTGCCATGGACTCGAGTCACTATGGCTACCTACCCATCACTTTGCACACTGCTACATAAATACCTATTTCACCTGACCCAGTAGATAGCTTTTGCATTAGAGATGAAAACATAGAGAAGGGAAGAAGACATGGAAGAAGAGCTTTTTAGTGCATAGTCCTATTTTATAGATCCAGTTTCTAGTGGTTAGTACCAATTTGAAGTCTTTAAGCTTACAATGTTTTATAGATTTTTCTAACTGTAATTTAACTGGAAGTATCAACACATATATTAAGCTCCAAGTAAGTTTTATTTATATTCATTAAGTCAAATTATAAAAAAAGCAATGTGAAATGGAGCTTAACAGTAGCTACTTAGAAGAACTTGTTTTTTGCAAGCCTAGATCATCATGTAACTCCTTTATTTACAAATGACTGTGTGTGCACATACAAATACAATATCTATAACATATATGCAAACACAATATATACATGTGTATACAAATACATATGCAAATTTTATATATGCACACTCAAACAGCCGCATATGTATACATATACATATGTTTGTGTGTGTATATGTATGTGTATGTGTATGTGTATGTGTATGTGTATGTGTATGTGTATGTGTAT